TTTTTTTTTTTTTCAGATGACGATAAAAAAGCTATACTTAGTCGTTTTTGCGACCTCTCGTCGAACATCATCGATGACGCAATGAGATGGGATGTTGATGATGACGGGATGATTGAGAACTCGGGTATGCCCGACCAGACGTATGACGTATGGAGCATGCATGGCACCAGGTAATAATATTATCGTCAATACGGAAACCGATTAACTTCGGAAGAATTTGCTGAGAGGGATGGGTCGGCAAAGAGGAGTAGGCGAGTGAAGGATGATGGGTTAGCTCAAAGCGCAATCGAAGTAAGCCGACCAGAACTGTTTTTCTCTTATATTCTTTTTTTTTTTTCTTTTCAAGCGCTTATTGCGGTGGTCTGTGGTTATGCGCATTGGAGTGTTATCGACGATTCAATGAGGAGCTGGGTCACTCGCATGAAGTGCACCGCATTGAGGACATAATGCGGAATGCTCGATTGGCGTATGGGAAAAAACTATGGAATGGGTATTATTTCAATTTTGATGAGCGCAGCAATACAATTATGGCGGACCAATTATGCGGTTTCTGGTATATGTGCACAATCGATGACATTATTGAACCAGACCTGTTTGATCGTGAAATGGTGAGGAAGCAAATTTTTTCACTGCTAGCTTAAATTTCTGCAAAATAGACGATTGTTGGTTTACAGTAGCACGCGACTTTAGTGTTACCTGTACGAATTAGCTTATTGTTAATGCTGTTCCGTCGGAGGAAATCCGTTTCTACTCTAACAGACTTCATATTCGGGCTAACATCGAACGTCAAATCACTTACATACTCTTGAATGGTGGGAGCATCCGGAAGTAGTCCAAGTGGAGGCAAGTACCATCAGCAGCGGCCGCAGCCATCCGCTGTTGAAAACTCTCATTGGCTTCCTCAAGCTGATTATTGAGTCCATAAGATGTAAAAAAAGAATGTGCTGCTAATCGATTTCTTAAAATCTCTACATTTGACAAACTCGTTAAATCCATTTTGCTCCTCGGCCGATGCATATAGATGCTATCTATGCTATTATTTCGGCTCTTTCTAGTCCCGTTTCGTCTCCATCATTCACCTCTTCCCCTTCAATTTTGCCTTCTCTGTGTCTGTACTTTGCAGTAAGTTCACCTTTTACGCATTTTAGAGCAAACAAACTGCTCTCTTGAGTATGTATAAATCAGCTGTCATATGCGCAATTGTCCGATTTTTGCGCCCACTGACTTTTGAAATTTGAAATTTACAGGAGCGAAACAGAAGATAATTTCATGCTTATATTAAAGATACCTCTCTATTGCCCTTTTGTATCTATAATAAGTGTATCGTAATTTTTTTTTCAACTCCGTCTTTGAAAAAAGTCAAGAATGTTAT